CACTCTTTTCCAGAATTGAGCGCAGCTTGCTGTCTGCAACCCGGAGATGCAAACGAAAAGAATCTGCGACTGCCGGGGCTGCCCGCCCTCCGCGGTTTGAGCCGTTCCAGATGCGTCCCCAAACCTCATAAATGTCATGGCTAGGGGTGCCGAGTAACTCAATGATGGTCTTTGCAGGCGCGCTGACAAGCGATTCCCACGGAATAGTAGCTGTCTCCCAGTCAGTCCGAAAAGTTGTGATGCAAATGACTCCGCTGGGTTGGCATGGAATGTCATGATTCTGAGCTGCCTGCATCTGGACTCGCTGTCCGCCAAGCTGCAAAATCCAACATTGAAGGATGAGGGTATGTCCAGCTGCATCCTTTGCAGGGCATCGTATCTTCGTGGCCGGAAATTTTGAACCTGCAGGTGGGGGTTCGAGTTGAATGTAACCCAGTTCATAAGATGCAAGGGCTTTTCCTGAAGCAAGGATCTCATCGATCTCATTCGGTGGCTCTGTGTACAATCCTCTCTGCGAAATGTCAAAAGGGCCCTGAACCTTCGCCTCGGACTTATCCTCAAAGAAAAAGGTTCCTGGCAGAAAAGTGACATCATGGATGCAAAGGCGGACAGGCGGCTGGTAGCTTCTGAGATGGCCACCTCGCTTCGGAAAAAGCTGTGCAATCGGAAAACCAACATCTTTTGCAGTGGCACGCAGCATCTTCCGAAGCTCATCTCCTGTAGGCGTCTTTGTGAGGCCAGCGCGCTGGGTGTCTGACAGCTTGCTGCAGAAAGAATTCACGACCTCGCTCACTTCACCTGTAGATCGCGTTGGTGCCTTAAGGATGTTTTGAATCCTAGCGGCGAGGCCGTCGCCCTCTGAGTTCAACGCAGGCTTGGCTCCACCCGGAGCCCGACAAGTGATCTGGACTTCTGCATGTGCTCTGATGTGGAGGTCACGAATCGATTCCTGGGGGCCAAAAAGCCTGGCACCACTGTGGACTTTGTGCAAGGCAGGGTTGAATTCAGGCCAGGACGATTGGATGGCAAAACCCAAGCTCTCATATCCAGCAGGTTTGCAAGACCTTGTATCGCCACCTGGGATCTTCAAGAAAAAGCCTGGCCAGGTCAGATTTCCCTCATCAGGAGATTCACGAAGGATGACGAATCCATTGCTTTTGGCAAGATCTGCAATCCGTGTATGCGCATGCAAGTCAAAGCACGAACCTCTCAAAAGATTCCAAGCCCGGTTGAGCTCGCAGCCGGTAAGATCGGATCGCACCTGCAGTTTAGCAACCTGGCAATGCTCTGAATAAACCTGCATGTCGATTTTCTCTTCCTCGCGGTTGTTGTATGAGAAACCCCCATCCGAACTCGCGGGGCTCCCTGCAGCATCAAAATCACGCAATGCGTGTCTAGGCTCAACCTCGGCTAAAGCATCTCCTGGACCGGGGGCATTGCTCGTGGCAGTGGTCGAGACAGATCCAACCTCCCACTGGATCGTCGGAGTAATCACAGGGGTTGAAGCGCACATGAGATTGACAATGCCTCCATGACGGATGATGTCATCAGCTGAGACATGGCGGCTCCCAAAAAAGGCAGAACAAGTGCTCCAGTTGATCTCAAGTTGTTGCAGCGCATCCCCAAAAGTGGTATCAACAACACATGGAATGGTCTGAGTGGGAGCATCCTCGTGTCTCAAAACAAGGACAACTTCATGTCGGTGCATTGTCCGGAAACGAAAACCCCGGCTTTGAGAGCCAAAGAGGCATCTGTCATCCTGAATAAGAATGTCGGCCTGTGTGTCCAAACGGGTGGCGCGAAGCTTCCGGAGGATTTGCTCAAAGCTTTGGGTGATTCCCTCAAATTCAAAGCCACAGCAAACCAAAGCAACCCAAATCCCGGCAAGGGCGTGGACCTCTGCGATCGAATTTCCAACCTGCTGACTGCCAGAAACAATATCAAGCGGGAGGTCGACTGGATTGGTGATGCCTAATGCGGCGATGATCTCGACAGGTGTGAAAAACCGGAGCTTGTCCTGTTGAGTTCGGAGGTCCCCTAAAAGCTTATCCGTGCCATGTGCAACCCCATGGAAGAGATGTTGTCTGGTGTAACTCCTCATTAAGGACGTGGCCGGAATCCTCGCCTCCGGTGAGATGACCCGTCTGAGCAATGCATCCTTCGCAGTTGCAACTTGCTTTGGCGACCTTCTGACACATGAGTAGATCTCAATCTCTTGCGACGTCAAAAGGCTTTGGGTCATCAAGGCAGCAGGAACTTCCGCAAACCACATGCTCTCAAGTTGCAGCGAACGCAGTGGGCCCTGAAAAGCTTGCTTGACCTTGCCTGCATGCTGAGGCGTCCACTGAACGTGCGCCAACTTCGTGATGACACCGATGAATCTTGATCGCTGCGCAGGGACGACATGTTCGAGCTTCAACACTTCCGCAAAAATGAAGTGATACCCTTCTGAAAGGACATTAGCAATCAAGGTGGCCCGCAAGCCCAAATCGGACCAGACCTCCGGGACATTCTCGAGAAGAACAAACTGAATGCCGCAAATACTGCAAAAAGCAAGCATGTCCTTGAAGGCTAACCCACCCGGGGCAGACCATCCCTGTCGTCCTCCCGCCAAGCTGAAGGATTGGCATGGCCACGATGCTGTTGCAATGTTACACTTCTGAGCCGCAGCAAACATCCAGAACTGACCTTGCGAGGCGTCCGCAACATAGGCAATCGGTCCGGGTGGGACCTCCGTGGAAAAAGAAACAGATCCCAACCCAAATCCATGTGTTAAGCAAAAGGATCTCACTGCTTCTGGAGAGGTGTCGCAGGCAATAGCGGTCCGAATCGGATAACCACATGTCTGAAGCATCCTGACTGCGTGCTGCCAACCTGAAATTCCTCCACAAAAAGGAACACACATGATCAACTCCTGGATGGGCATCGAAGGGCCGGTAAATACATGGGATTCCGTCGTCAACCAAAGGCAAGGGGGTGTCTGCTTGTGGCTGCAATCTGCTTGGATCCTGCAAAGATGGTTCCCCGTCAAAGTCAAACAAATCTGTTCTTCGAGAGCTCTTTCCGCATGGAAAATCTGCAAACGACTTGCCTGGTCGATGACTATCATGGTCAGGTCCGGGGCGGCTTCACATGTAACCTCAAAGATCACTGAGTCATGGTCCCGGTGTTGTCTGAGAACCTGGATATCTCGAAGTTGGTGTACATCTGAAAAACCCCATTCATCTGAACACATCTGGGAGCGTCGACCTCCGGGACCAACTAAGGGGTCAAACCGAGCTCTCTTCCCATCCGCCCTGTTGCAAGGGTTCGTTCCCGGTTGCGCATCCAAAGGGCCAGAGCGAGACCCATCAAACATCGGCTCAACGCCCGTCGGCCGGGCGTGTGTGCATGGTCCGTGGTGAGTGGGATTGTCACATGGTGCTGAAATGTGTGAGCTATCATGAGTAGACAAAGAAGACTCAAGGTCAGCCACATGCCATGCCATGCTATCAGCCACGCCCCGGGAAGGCCCTTGAGCACTAGGCTTTTCCCCACGCCTGAGTACACCAGCAAGCAAGCCTCGGACCCCGTGGTGCCCCTGGTGCCATGCACGGGCATCTTCCTTGGGCCCAGCAAGTCGGGCAAAACTGTGGCGCTCATCAGTCTCATCAAGGGCGTGTTTGAGCGGATCTACGTTTTCAGCCCAAGCGTCAACATCGATGATGGCTGGATCCGCGTCAAGAAGTACATCGAGCAGGACCTGGGGGTGAACACGGAGCGTGAGCGCTGTTTCTGGCCTTGTAAGTGCGTTTCTGTCGTGGAGCTTTGTGGCTCGAAAAGCCTTCTGCTCATATCCAAGCGCTTTCTTGGGCGCAGGCGCTCCCTGGGTTAGGGTTTAGGGTTTAGGGTTTAGGGTTTAGGGCGTTGCCGCGAGCTCGGTCGACATTCACGCGCGGGGGCTTCGCCGCCTCCCATGCAGCCAGGGCTGCAGTAGGGTTGGCGGCGGACTCCAGACGCGACGGCCCAATCATTTGTTTGGCAGCGCTCGGCCAATAGATTGGCGCGAGCTTTTTTTTCCCCTCCCTCCGCGGCGAGCGCGGGAAACCTCCCACAACATTTCCTTTTAGGGTTTTGTGCTAAATTCCCACTTCACGAACGCGCGCGCCGAGCGGCAGCGCCTGAGTCGCTCGCTCCCAGACCCGCCGAGAGGCGAGGCGAGCGAAGCGAAGACGAGCGGGGGGGAAACGGGGGCCGGCGCCGGCTCTCCGCGCAGCGTCTAAGAAAGGGGCCGGGCTCAGACCGCGGCGGGCGGAAGAAAGCGCGGGGCGAGCGACGGGAAGGCGAGCGCTGCCCGCGGGGGGCGAAGACAGAAAGCGAATCAGAGCCGAGCGAAGCTGGCAGGGAAGGGCGCAACCCTAAGAGCCCCGCGGTCGTCGCCGAGGCTCGGGAAGGGCCCCCGCCTGGGTAAACAAAAACCCCGAGACCGAGGAAGCGACGGCCGCGCCCAGGCGGAGGGGAGCAACGACTCCCCGGCATAAGGGCCGACTTTCAAGGGACTGTTCGTGTTTTTTTGCCCCTTAGCGCGGCGATCCCACGCAAAACCTGCGCTAGTTGGAGAAACCCAAGTATGTCTCACCTCTTTCGGGAAAACCTAGCAGGAGAACGCAATGCATATTACTTTTTTCGGGAAGCCAGGTTTCGCGGGGAGATCGCCAGTAGCCCGCGCGCCGCGTAGAGACGCGCGACTCGCGCAGAGCGACTTGCGCAGAGCGGCTCAGGCAGAGCAACTTGCGCAGAGCAGCTCGGACAGAACAACTTGCGCAGAGCAACTCGCGCAGAGCGGCTCCGGCAGAGCAATTTGCGCAGAGCAACTTGGGCAGAGCAACTCGCGCGGAGCGGCTTGGGCAGAGCAACTTGCGCAGAGCAGCCTGCGTGGCGAAACTCGCGCCTCGCGACTCGCGTAGAGCAACTCGCGCGGAGCGCAGAGCCGTCGGAAACGCGAGCCTTCCCCGCCCGAGGCCGGAGCGCCGCAGGGCGACGCAGCGAAGCCTGCGAGACCCGAAGAAGCCCCGGACGGGCGAAAAAAAGAGCGGCCTACGCGCGACACGGCGCGCGGCGGAGGGCAGAGACGGCAGGGAGGGAAGGGGGGCGGGCAGCGCCGGGGGCGCCGTTTCCGGGGGCCGAGCCGACCGTCCGCGGCGCGAGCCTCAAGCCCCGAACATGCCCGCCGCCGCGTACGTGGCGCTGAGCCGCGTGGAGTTCGACGCGAACTGGCGCTTCCTCGGCGACCCGGGGGTGCACCACTTCACGCCAGCTCGCTTCCACTGAAGGACCCCAGGAAGGGGGCCGCGGGGCGGGCCAAGAGAGCAAAGTTGCTTGCTAAATGCTGCTTCTCGGCGGAAGGGCGACCCCGGAGGGCTCAGAGTTTAGGGGCGACCCCGGAGGGCTAAAACCCGGGGTTTTAGGGTATTGACCTGCTAGGTAAGAGCAGCTAGCGCGAGGCTCATTTGGGTGGTGTATAATGGGCATAGCCGAGGGTTGCTTCTAAGCAATCATTTGCCCCATTCACAAGGCGCCTCCCTCTGCAAATACGAGCCTTCGGAATAAAGCCGCCCGGCGGCGCTAGTTGTGAATATACACCACCCTAGAAATGGGTGGGAAACGGTCTAGGCAGACCGGGTGGGAATTTAGGGTTTAGGGTTTAGGGTTTAGGGTTTAGGGTCTAGAGGGTATATCAAATGGATTGAGAGAAGTTTTGTTGGCTTTCCCACCCACCCAGATCGGTTACCCACAACATAGGAGAGTTTTTTGGTTTCTCCAAATTTCAAGACGGGGGTGCGAGCGATAAACTCCACAACTCTGGAAGTCATTGCAAGCCCGGTTGCGTTTTTTTGTGGCTCCGCACGAAGAAAGAAGTTGATGCATCAACGGGAGAGCGGGCTCTAAATGAGCAGATCTGTCCATTTCAAGCCCGTTATACCTTTGCTACATGAACGGATTCAAGCCGATTCGGGATTTTGAAGAGAAAAGAAGCAAAAGCCATCCAAAAAAGAGCTGGCCCGGGATGTAAAAAAAGCCAAATGACCAGATCTCTACATTTCAAGCAAGGATGACCAGATCTTTACATTTCAAGCCAGGCTGGCCGTTTTGACATGCGCCGTATGAACAGTTTATCAGCGGCTGGCCAAGCCCAGAAAGGAGCCAAATGACCAGATCTTTACATTTCAAGCTTGTTTATCAGCGGCTGGCCAAGCCCGATGACCAGATCTTTACATTTCAAGCCAGGCTGGCCTTTTTGACATTGCGCCGTATGAACAATTTATCAGCGGCTGGCCAAGCCCAGAAAGGAGCCCAATGGCCAGATCTTTACATTTCAAGCCAAGCTGGCCGTTTTGACATTTCGCCATATGAGCAGTTTATCAGCGGCTGGCCAAGCCCAGAAAGGAGCCAAATGACCAGATCTTTACACTTCAAGCCGAGCTGGCCGTTTTGACATTGCGCCACATGAACAGTTTATCAGCGGCTGGCCAAGCCCAGAAAGGAGGAAAACAAAGGAGCCAAATGACCAGATCTTTACACTTCAAGCCGAGCTGGCCGTTTTGACATTGCGCCACATGAACAGTTTATCAGCAGCTGGCCAAGCCCAGAAAGGAGGAAAACGACCAGATTTTTACACTTCAAGCCTGGGTGGAACAGTTTATCAGCGGCTGGCCAAGCCCAGAAAGGAGCTGAATGACCAGATCTTTACATTTGGAGCCTGGGTGTCCATTTTTGCATTGCGCCATATGAACAGTTTATCAGCAGCTGGAGCCCAGAAAGCAGCAAAATGACCAGATCTGCTTGGAGCTGGCAAAGGACAGAGCGAAGCCATTTCCTAAGACCTTTCCCTTCCCAAAGGACAGAATTGTCTTCTGGGAGAAGAAGAGCCCAAGGGGGCGGCTCAAATCAGGAGCACTGATACATTAAGGTTTAAATCTCCATTGAAGAGAAGATTTAGGGTTTAGGGTTTCACCTCGGAAGCGGCGCGCCACGACCCAAAGGGTCGCGGGGCGGCGCGCCGAGGCGGCAGCTTCTACCCACCCCAATACCACCCAAACTAAACTCTTTTAGGGTTTAGGGTTTCAATTGGAAGCCCGGCGGGCCAGTGTTAAGGAAGCGCTCAATCGCGACAAAAAAGAACAACTTCGCAGTGGACCGCCGCTGCGCTCAAGGGGCGCTGCCAGAGCGAAGGGCAAGCGCCTGCGCGAGGACAAGTTTGCTTTTGCCTGCTACAACGTCTAAGGCGGCGCGCGCGCGGCGCGACAAGGGACAAACGGGCACTGGCTCTGATAAGATATGGTTAAAATTGCTTGCCCGCCGCTGATAATTTGCTCGCACGGGATTTTGCCATTGGGCTTGCCTACGCATCAAGGCCGCCAGCCTCAATGGCCGTTTTATCAACAATGGCCGCTTTATCAAGGCTGAGGACCAGACCAGTGGCCGCAATGGCCGTTTTATCAACCAAAAGCGGCCAAATGGCCAGATCTCTTACATTTGGGTTGCGGCTTGCCGATTTCATACTGTCCCGTGTAAGGAGTTTATCAGCGGCCAGGCCGAGCTATTTTTAGCAAGGGCTGGCAAAGCGAATGGCCGCTTATCAAGGCCGGCTAGCCGCAATGGCCGTTTTATCAAAGCCGATGGCCGTTTTATCAAGGCCGGCAATGCGCAGTTGCAGTTTTATCAACAATGGCAAACTTATCAAGGCCAAGCTAAAGGAGGACTCATACGCTCAGCCCCTCTTAGACTAGAGGGTTTAGGCTCCCTGCGCGCGCCCGCAATAAATGTTTATAAGGAGCCTTATAAGGAAGTCAAGGAGCCTTTATAAGGACGCCCGCGAGGAGGCTGTATAGGCGGAGCCCTCGCCC